GGGGTAACCCTACCAGCTCTGGCGAACGTAGTGAGGGAGGCCAATAACCCTCACGGCCTCAGCAGGTCAAGGTGTGTGCTGTCAGGAAGGAGTACGAGGGATGCACTTGAGGTCAGGTGGGAATTTGGAATGTACATGTCTGTGTGCACGAACAATACTCAGCGCCTCAAATAGTCAACGCGAGTGGTATCATGCGGATGAACCAAACATGACAGTCCCGAGACCGACCGGCGGTCAATTCTACGACTTCTACGAACGAAAGTGTTCCGCCCGTCCGGGCATGACTGAAACAGGAGACAGGGGCACCTGGATGGCCTGCAACTCGGCAACAAGCACTATAGACGACACAGGATACAGGTGGGGGCGAGTTGCGCATCGTAGAAGAACATGTTCCCCCTTCGGTCTAGGCCGTGAGCGACTATTTCAGCTACGGGGACGCGGGAAAAGGGTATTCAGGAGAGAGAGGACAATTTCAAACACGCAGGGCGCGGTTGGGTTGCCGAAATGCCATCGGTGCAAGGCGGACGGTGCCAGTCTCCTGGAAAAAGCCAAAGCCCCGATGGACGATGGATGCTGAAGCTCATCTATCCGAACGCGGCCAGCCTCGACTCGTATCTCGAGGTGTGGTTGCAAGCTGTCGCGGCAGCGGCAGCGCCTGGCTCTGCGCCCCTCGCCACAATCGAGGGCTGCGGCGGACCTGCCTCGTACCTGAGGCGCCAGGATGACGGCCCGGAGTACAAGAAGGTCCGTAGCTCCGTAGCTGGTGGGAGTGCTAGAGGCCAGAGCTTATTCATGAGAGAGCAAACAAAAATATTGTACGCCATACCACGTGAGCATGTCGCAAATGATCTGCCAAGCAATGCACCGCGTTGTTGTATTTCGTGTTTGTCAGTTGCAGACTGAGGGCTACTGCTGTACGCGGGCCAGACTTACTGACTGTTGCAAGCATACGTTTCGCGGTGTATCTGTTGACTGAATGGTAGGGCTGAGCTCTTTTCGGGATTCGCGGTTGGTTACCTGCAGCATATCTTCAAGGCCCTTTCTTGCGGCAGCATGTGGCTCGGTGTTTGCGGCCTACGCTACTTATTTATCGGGTGAGACTGTATTGGTGATGTATTAACTTAAGAAGTGGTAGAGAACCGTCCTTCACACGGACGAAAGAGGGAGTGCTCGAAGAGCGGCTCCCACAGCAAGGAGGGGCCCCTTGAATAATCGCGGTGCCCCCTACCAAACGGTAATCTTACCAGTCTGCGTGACACCAAATCTTCCAGCACATGTATCCAACACCAATGTTCGCCGACCCACGAACACCCTCCCTGGTTCTTCACGCAAGTGACTATCCATCAATGGGGCAAGAACGCCCCTGGATACATCAGAAAATACCAACATGGTAATATATGGAGGGGAAACCCGGCGTCCGGGCAAAATCCCTCGAAAAAAACCCTACCACCACAAAAACCGTCGCTATCATAGCGGATCACAACGACCGCACTTATTAGAAAGGCCAAGGCGAAGACAAGAACGCGAGGAACTACGATCCCCCGGACGATGGTCTCCCAACGCCCCCTACTCCTGCCATTGGTACACAGACCGCAACAGTTATGCGCCTTTCCCCGCATGGAAAACATGACCTCTCCCAAGTGCTAGAAACTGCTACGGCTTCTCCGGCAAATTCATCAACTTGCGCCGGTGGTACTGCAGACTAGCCCTGCAAAGGTCCTTGGTTAGGAGGTCCGCGTGTTGCTCCGTTGTCGGAACGAACTTGACCGAAATATCCCCCGACCTAAACAATCCGCGGATAAAATGAAATCTCACGTCGATGTGTTTCGTGCGACCTTAGCTGTGGGGGTTCTGTACCAACGCTAAGGCCCCCTGGTTGTCCTCAAGGACCTGGATGCTGCTACCACTGGTCTCTGGGGCAACAAACGAAAGCACAGCACGCACAAACAACGCCTCCTTGACGCCCTCCCCGGCAGCAATGTATTCGGCTTCCGTCGAAGACAAAGACACGATGCCCTGTGTCTTCCTACCATGACTGACTACGGTACCTCCAACCGTCGTCGCCAACCCTGACACCGAACGCCTATCCTCCGTGTCGGCGTAGCTAGCGTCTACGTACACGGCCAGCCCTAACCCCGATCCCCGTTGGTAGGTGATGCCGAGGTCCCTCGTCCCTTTCAAGTTGCAGAGGATCTTTTGGATGGCATCCCAGTGCCTCTTCGCCGGGGCGTGGGCGTGGCGCGCTACCGCACGCACGGCGAACGAGACGTCTGGACGCGAGAACGTTGACACCCACATCATGCTGCCGATAGCCTTCCTCACCGGCCACTCTCCTCCCTTCTCGTTATCTCGCTCCGGTCCTGTGGGGGATTCACTTAGCTCGTGGGACGCCAGAGCCATCTCGAAGGCGTCTGGCGAGTTGAGCATGAGGTCCACCGTACCC